TAACAAGAATTATCAATTATCTATTAATAAAGAAGACCAACTTGTAGCTTGGTTTTGAAAAACATTTAAAGATCAAACAATTGATCGTATGGTTACAATGACAAAGACTGGTCATAAGATACCTGTTAGTTTTGAACTAATAACAAATACTGATGCATGTCGTATATAAATATATATATAATTGTATTCAAAAATATGCTCGAGAATTACCAAGAAATAAAATCTATGAACTTTCATTTACAAAATTTTTTTATATCCTGATATACGTTTCTTTGAAGAACCTTACTTCTGTTGCAATCAGCATGTTCAAAATTTAGGTATTATTGCTATGCAACAAATGATTAATGAAACAAAATCTGTAACACAAATATAAGCTTTTTCATGTATACGAACGAAAATTAACAAAATTAGCTTTAATCGTTGAAAATGATGCTGTTATGAAGGAAAAACATTTCTTTTGAAACTCTATTCATTATTATTAAATTCGAAAGCTACGAATGGTACTCTTCAAGGATATGTTATTCCAAAACATTGCTTCAACGAATCAAATCAAAAATTTTAGAAAATGATGATGACGATAAAGCTGAACTTCTTAATCAACAACCAATCCAAGTATCAGCTCTAGCTGCTTCAGCACAACAACAACAAAATAATGGACCGATAGATGATGTTCCCCCAAAAGAAATCAAACAGTTTTATATCAGATTGGGAGAACAATTCTAAGCGTTTCAACTGAAAATGATACGACTTCAGAGGCAACTTTGATTAAAAGTAGTTGTCGACTATAAGAGTTACTTCAAGACATTTCTTCTTCTGATGCTGAAATATTCAAAGAATATTTATTTAATAGTCAAATAAAACCCTTATTCTATAATCTTCTTTTACATCCTGATGTTACTGAAAAGTAACAATTAGTTCAGTTTGTGTCTCTGATTTCTCAATTAGCTCGTGACTTACCAGAAATATATAGAAATCGTTATTTTCTTTGATAAAGCATATACAGTTTCGTGTCTTGGTCTATTCAAAGAAATATTCATGGATGGAACATTACGTGGTACAAGCATTTTGAAAAATATCTTCTTTACTGTTGCTACTAATCCATTTATGAAAATAGAAGAAAATACAGAACAAGTTCATTGTACTGATCATATTGTTCGAAAAATAGCCATGTTTCAAGTTAATTCATTAGCTAAAAGTGATACAACGACGCCATTAGAAGTTTATGTTCAAGAAACAAACATTAGCTGATTCAATTTTGAAAGTGCAAGAATTTTGTGAAAAAAAAATCTTGGTATTGTTTTAAGAAGTTTATAAGATGTATTTTGTATTTTTAATGTGATTAAAAAGCTTATTTTCCTAATCCTGTTCGATGTATTGCTTTATCAATTGCTTTAACCTATTATTTTCGACTTCCAACAAAAGAAGATAATTTACAACGTAATGATAAAAAGTTACCATCACGAGAACAGTTTGCTAAACTTCTTGGTCTAGCTATACAAAACTTTGATTATATCGTTCAAAATGAACTCGAACGATTCGTGAATTTATCGTTCGTTACCATCTGAAGATAATCAGAAAATCTTAGCTTATGGTTATTTGAGTTTGCAATCAGAGCAACCACAATCATCTCCAGATGATCGTCTTGGTAAAATTATTTATGGTATATGTCCAGGATACTGACGAGTTCTTCGTTCACCAGGTATACCTCATATATTTTATGATTATGATTCTATTTATATGTTGAAAGAATAACGATTGGAGTTGATGAATCCAAATGAAGTTGAACAAATTAGTATCGGAGAAATAACACAACGAAGTTTATTATGAATGTTAGATGATAATTTTACTGGAGTTCGAATCGAAGAGTTCAATAAATTAGTCAATATTTTTGCTACAGCTGTTGCAGGACTGTTCACATAATACATCATCATTTGTTCTTGATTTTTTTTACCTTTCTCCTCAATCCATAGATATTCAATGAATCCGAACTCCAGCTCGGAAACTACACAACAATTGCAGGTCGCAACGAATATTCAAATTGCTATTCAAGCACTTCTTGAAAAATATAAGGGATTATGGAAGTAATCGTAGTTTCGATAAATTTGGTTCAGACTTACATATTTCTAAAAATCATGAACCTATTTTGAGGAACTTACTTCCTTTTAGATTTTTGAATTTCGCACTCTATTGTCAGTACACCTTTTACGATCAAACGTAAAAACTTTTCTTTTCCTTTAATTCTATTTCTTGAAACTTTGTGAGGAAGAAGTTCACCACCCACACCCCATGTGAACAGATACTTGGAGAATAATGTCTTGAATTTCGATCACTAATTATTTACGTAATTCAATGAAATTAGATCCAATTCGTCGTCATCTTTAGAAAGTGCTGTACGTCTTTCTTTTCAATGTAGCATTCTCAGTTCTGATACAAGTCAAACAACAGTTTTTCGTATATCAGGCAAAACTATCTTAATGATTAATACAGATCGTATCCATGATTCACGCTATGATAGTTTTAATCAGAATTATTTTCAATTATGGCTATTGAAGAAAATAGAAAAATCTTTTTCAAAGTAGCAATATGTGCAAAAATAATCATTGTCGTCGCACATGATGATTTTCGACGCATTATTTATACAAAACGAAGTGAATTTTAAGATATTCCAGCACTATTTCTAAGTCGTTTACAACAATATTCTTTTAGTATATCAGATTTTTCTTCAATACAATTACCAGAAATTCCCCTTGAAGAACAAGAATTCCTACGAAATATAGAAACAAAAGCTTGATCAGTTTGGAAAAGACTATTTCTATGGATTTAATAATGAAACATTATATTCATATCTTCTATT